GGGGCATCTCATGGGGCCCCCTACTGACCCCGGGCCCTCGGGCAGTGCCCAAGTTTCCAAATGGTCAGTCCACCCCTGTTTACAACCACTTTCATCTCCATCTGTATTGTGGCCCAGCGCACACCTACTGTCCTTATAACTATTTCTGTTATTTGTGTAATGAAAATGACTGAATCTGATCACTCTTCCAGGATACTGATCCGGCAGCTAAACTGTCAACTAAGTTACAAGCCAACCGAATGGAAGCTCTCAATGCAATAAATAAATGTAGAAGGGGAGTGAATCCAACTTCATGCAACATGGTGGAAGCGGTGAGAAAGTATTTTAATGCTCAAAGAAATTCCCCTACTGAATAGAGTATGTCACTGCTAACCTCTCCTTCTGAAAAGGTTGATTGCATGGCTGTCATGTCAATTTAATAGTGCCAATACATTGAGTGACTAATTAAAAAAAATTCAAAAGTATGGAGATTGGGAGTTGTAACTTTGCTCTGACTTCATTGACTGAATGCTTATTCCAGGGAAGGCTCAAAAAATATTGATTACAACCAAAGAACAAGAAATCTGCCTCCTGCGCTCAAGAGTGGTGAAATGATGGAAATATTTCCAGTCCTTGAAAACATCCTCACGCGCCTTGCTTCCCTATAAGGGTTGGGGAAAACCCAAGGAACTCACTGCAAAAACTAGGAAACAGAGGGTGCACCGGCCTAGTGCATTACCTAAGAGTTATCTTTACTGAGTTAAAAAGATATATACTCACAAATGACTGTGTTGACAAAGGCATATCAGTATCCAAAGCAATCACGTCACTAGGTCAGCTCACAAAGCATTAGAAGACCCTCAAATGGCTGATGCATTTTGAGGGGTGATCCCCTTTTCATCAGAGCCAATCCAGGGTCCAGGAAACCAATTCGATTAAAGGGCCTTCAGGGAAGACACACTGGAGAGGGGCTGTGGGTAAAGCTTGGCTTTTACTAGAAGAATGAATGTACGCATATAACATCATCTGTCCTTCGCTTTGGACCTACTGATTGTTTTGCATGTGTTCTTCATTATGGGGTGCTAAGGCGGTAGTAAACTCCACTTTTGAACTTTTAACTACAGGTAAGCCTATAAGACTTGCTTGTAGGTACAGTGGATATTTGCTAAAATTGCAGTGTTTAGGATATATTCACACAGGATGCAGCCGGTGACACCAGCAGGGCGTGCGCTCTGAAGGGATGGCATACTCATGTTGCTTCTTCAGAGCCCTGTGCCATGGCCATGACTCTGGTGCACATGCGCGGGATCACGGATCGGCCATTCAAGCAGCTGAAGCTCGCAAACCTGGAAGGAAGACTGGGTGAAGATGGAAGCCCTGTCATCAGTGACAGCACGCTACTGGAGGGCTTTGTTTTTAAGGTAAGTATGCCATAATGTGCTAGTTTATGGTGCATATTAGCACATTATGGATTAAATCACCCGGCCCATAAAAGTTTACTACCACTTCAAGTATGGCTATAGCAGCCTCCAACTCTGTGAAGTAAGCTTTGTTCAGGGGCGGACTGACAACTCACGGGGCCCCCGGGCAATAGGGGATCATGGGGTCCCTGTGTCCTTGCCCAAACTCAAAAAAGCCTATGAAAAAGGCACCAGGGGCATCTCATGGGGCCCTCTACTGACCCCGGCAGTGCCCGAGTTTCCAAATGGTCAGTCCGCCCCTGGCTTTGTTGTACCTACCCCCACCTCCACCAATGTCGATCTGTGAGTCCCTGTTAAATAAGCAGAGGCCTGCATGGCAAAGCAAGTGAGGTGGCCTTAGCAAAAACAGGACTTTCTGTAGAAAGACTTGATATGAAGCTCATGACTTTCCCAGGATTCACCTATACACTACATCAGAACCATTCAAGGCCCATGATTGAGATGTGTTTGGACAATTTGCAATCTTCCTTTCATTTTCCCCATGCCCAAAGGTTAAACTGAAGTTATACAGAGTGTTTTATTAGAGGATTTGTTGAAGAGAAAGTTGGTGTTAAGTCTAGCTCATCAGGTGGGTCTTTCCTGAAGGTCCTTCAATCCAATTGGTTTTGTTGACCAAGGGGGAGAATCGCCAGTGGGTTTTCAAAAGCACAGAGGGATAGCGTAGAGGTTACAGGGTGTTACATTTAGAAACAGTAAATGTTGGGGTTATGGAGAGGTTTGGTATTGGTATAGGGCTAGTTGAGGGTTAGTTTACAGTTACAAGCAGGGTGAGTGGAAGGTTAGTGTCAGTGCTACAAGGTGGTTGAGTGAAAGTGTTAGGGTTGCAGGAAGGTTTAGTGTTTAGGGTTACAGGGGATTGTCTGAAGGTAAGTGTTATGGTTACAAGGCAGGTTAGGTTAAATGCAGGAGCGGACTGACAACTCATGGAGCCCCCGGGCAAGAGGGGATCACGGGGCCCCTGTGTCCTTGCCCAAACTCAAAAAAGCCTATGAAAAAGGTAGCAGGGGCATCTCATGGGGCCCCCTACTGACCCCGGGCCCTCGGGCAGTGCCCGAGTTTCCAAATGGTCAGTCCGCCCCTGGTTAAATGTTAGGACTCATGTACACTGCAGCTGATAAACTCACGTTCAGGAGCTGTTCAGCATTTTTTTCTGCAGCTGCTGAACTCTCCCTAATGTTTTCCTATGTGTCCATGTACACTATGTCATTTACAGGCAGTTGAGTTTACAGTCGTTTCTTTGAACGCACCAAAAATTGCGGCCAGAAGTAGATTTTACCGGCGTTTCAAACGCCAAATGCTTGTAAATGCGGTTAACTGCGTTTATAAGCTTTTGTGTTTAGAAGCGTTTTTTAACTGTTCCATATCAAGATGCTGTCCAGACCCTTTTTTCATCATCAGAAATGCATGAAAAGCGTTTTCCATGTATTCAAATGGACCCGGTACACCAGCGCAGTCAGATCCAGGTTTTGCGTGAATGAAAAAATGGTAGAACGTGCTGCATTGCTCATGATGGGATCCATAGTGAATACAACCAGAGAAGACAGCTAATCTCAACACATACTGCTCTTTCTGCTTCTACTCTCTCTAATTCTCTGAAAATGTCTGAAATAGTTACTAATTTATAAGTATAATAAGAAATTATTTACTAATTTTCAGTGCATTCTGGGCATTTGGGAGGGTCTCTTGAGGTTATATTTTAACCACTTCCGGACACTTTTACCCCCTTCCTGTCCAGGCCAATTTTCAGATTTCAGCGCTATCACACTTTGAATGACAATTGCGCGATCATGCAACACTGTACCCATATGAATTTTTTAGCATTTTTTTGAGACAGATAAAGCTTTATTTTGGTGGTATTTATTCACCACTAGGATTTTTATTTTTTTGCTATGTAAATAAAAAATCCCAAAATTTTGAAAAAAAGTGTTTTTCTTATAAAATTTTGCAAATAAATAGTATTTCATCATAAATCTTGGCCAAAATGTATTCCGTCATCTTTTTAGTAAAAAACAAAACAAAAAAACCCAAATTAGTTTATAACCAAAAATTATAATTTTTAAACTTTTTTTTAACTTTTTTTTTTATTTTTTATATTATTATTTATTTATGTATTTATTTTTTTTTACATACTGTCACCCTAGCAGTACAGTGTTCAGAAAAAATGAGGAAGGGTTGTAACAGAGCAAAGGGTTGTAACTTCACACATGTGAGTGTTTCTATATTTAGACTTGAATAAAAAGACTTATTGCACTTAGAGGCGCTTCTCTCCTTTTCTCATCTAGCAGTACAGTGTCACCATGGTGACACCACTGTACTACTTGTTGGGGGTTGATGAAGATTTTTTTTTTTACACTGATCGCTTTTACACTCATAAAGGCTGTAAAAGAAATCATTTCTCCTTCTCTCTAGCTGCATTCTTGCAGCCATTGAGAACTACTGTGTGAGCTGTGATTGGTCACAGCTTGTCACAAGGTACAAGGCTGTTGTGCATAGCCTTGTACCATGTGACCTCTGTGATCTTTCACAGATTTCACATGTAGTAAGCAATGATGTTTCAGAAGTGATATCTTGCGTACTACTCTGCATGTGATCACTGATTGGCCAATCAGTGATCACATGATCGGGACCTCACACAGAGGTCCCGTCCAACGATCGGTGTTCCATTGTGCCTGGAGGATGCAGCAGGCACGGATCGTGGTGCTGCGTGCTCCCAGGGAGCGCACACAAGCATGGTGCGGGGAGGCCGTTTATAAACGGCCACCCGACCCTGCACTGCCACCGTCCGCCCGTTTTATATACAACGGCCAGACGGGAAGTGGTTAAAAATGTTTCTAAATGCAAACACGCATAAACGTGCATAAACGCGGTATACAAACGCGACTAAACTGACGTTTTACAACTTGCGTTTTCCAGCAGTCAGTTTCCAGCAATGGCCAGAAGAGTTTTCCAAATGCCCCGTGTACATGAGCCCTTAGTGTATTGTTTCAGGCAGGACTAGTATGAGGGGCAGAGGGTGCCAGGAGCTTGTTGCTCTAGACTGCTAAAGCTAATCTCCTTCTGCACTGAAGCCCAATGTATCACTGCTGCTATCCTAGGGGTCCCTGATTTTGTGTTTCGGAGCTCCTTTTACAATACAAAATACCTCCAAATAAATGACTATTAAATAGTTGCTGATTTTTAATACTGTTTGTTGATGACTAAGATGATGATGGTTTTGATTGAAAGAAGATGCGTGGTGTTCAGAACAAATAATGATTTTATTAGTGGTGATCCATTAGATATAAGTTTTAATTCTATAAAGAGAAATTATATACTCCATTAGAACAACTGCAGTTTGTTTTCCTTCCTTAGGTATGGAATATAGAGGCTGCAGATTCTTCTTTAGCGTATGCAAAACGTTGCTACCTGAACCACAGCTTACCGAAACAAAGACAACTGTCAAGTAAGTTGCCTGATAAGAGATTATGAATTATATGGATATAAAAAACTGACCTGTGTTGGACAGGACCAAGTTGGGATCTCCCATATGTCAAGTTTTAAAGAAGAACTCCACCTAAAGATTTTAGATGGTGGCAATTGGTTATCAATCATGTAAATATGCACAGGGAGCACTGACTGCCTGCATAGGTTTTTAAAACTTTTTTGAGTGAGGAACAGACAGAATCGTGTAACTGCACAGCAGGGGCGGACTGACCATTTGGAAACTTGGGCACTGCCCGAGGGCCCGGGGGTCAGTAGGGGGCTCCATGAGATGCCCCTGGTACCTTTCATTGGCTTTTTCATAGGCTTTTTTTGGGTGTGGCGAGGACACAGGGGCCCCATGATCCCCTATTGCCCGGGGGGCCCCATGAGTTGTCAGTCCACCCACGCTGCATAGATACCTTCATAGCTGCATTCTTCCCAATTAGGCACTTCATGTGTGGTCACTGGGGCAGGAAGGGAGAGAAAATCTCTCCAATAGAAACATAGAAATCCTGAAAACCTGACCAACATTCAAACTCTTCCTCATTCTCACTAGAAAATTGGTCTGTTTTGGGGTCCGCTACAATTTAGATCCCAGCAATAAATCTTTATACTAGGCTGTCAAGGAAGCAAGCCCACAGCCACTAGCTAGCTGAGGGAAGGACCTTGTTTGGTGTGGCAGGGAATGATGGGAAGCTTACTGTGAGCTAGTAAGGCTATGTTCACACTAGCTTTGTCAGCAGGCGTCAGACAGGCCTTTGGGAAGTGTTTTTAACGCTTCTCAAAAGCCTATGAAAATTCTGCACATGGCAGCACACAGTACTGTTCACACTGAAGCGTTAGCGTCGCGTCACGGCAAAACGGACGCCTCGTGTCAAGTCAGGAGGAGTTAGAGCCTCCCATTCAAGCCTATGGTGCTGCTCCGCAAACGCCTGCCAGGCGTTTGCGGTGCGGTTGTGAGGCGTTTGTGGAGCATTAAGACCATTTAACTTCATTATAGGCATTTGTGGTGCGGTTTTAACGTTTGGCAAATGCCTATCAATCAACCACCTCAAAACCGCACATGAGGCATTTGGGGAGCGTTTGAGGAGCGTTAAAAACGCTTCACAAACGCCTGTCTAACGCCTGTGAAATGCTATAGGGGCGTTTGTAAAGAGTTAGAAATAAAGTCAAGTGCGAACGAGCCCTTAGATACACTGTGATACACTTTTCATAGCCCGCAGTATATCGGGCCACCACTAGAGGGAGACTCCATTCCAATCTAACTGGCTGACCACACACAGGCAGATACAAATCTTACATGCAATCTGGTGCACTCCAAGTGTTGGGGAGCAGTCTAGCAGCACACACTTTTAGGATTCCTCACGCTATCCTACAAGCTAGAACAGCAATGGGCAAACTACGGCCCGCGGGCCGTATACGGCCCGGCGGACCTTTTAATACGGCCCGCGGAGCTAGTCTCCTCTCACAGTCTGCCCTGAAGACGGTGTAGCATGAAAATCTGTCTCCTATGAGGATCTGTCCCCCTCGACGTATCTGCACATGTGCCGGAGATCGCCGATCGCCTGCTAATGCCTGAAACTGGCACATGCGCAGATACGTCGAGGGGGACAGATCCTCATAGGAGACAGATTTTCATGCTACACCGGAACGGCGCGCGAACACGGCGAGAGGAACGCGCGGAGCAAAGGTAAGTGAATTGACACAGGGGGACTTGGGGACTTAATAGGGGGGGATGAATTACTATATGGGGGATGAATTACTATAGGGGGGATGAATTACTATGGGGGATGAATTACTATAGGGGGGATGAATTACTATATGGGGGATGAATTACTACAGTTGTGACCAAAATTATTCAACCCCCACTGAAATTGAGTGTTTTGGCCAGTTTGACATTGCTTTTGATCATTCAGTCATCTTGCTTACATTTACATTAAAGAGGCACTTGTAGGTCAGACAAATATAACATAACAGTTATAATGAAATAACCACAAATGTCTTTTCTGTGCTCACAGCATTATCAGTTTTATTCAACCCCCAAGTGACATTCAATCTTAGTACTTAGTACAGCATCCTTTTACAGTTATAACAGCTTTTAAACGTGAAGCATAGCTTGACACAAGTGTCTTGCAGCGATCTACGGGTATCTTCGCCCATTCTTCATGGGCAAAGGCCTCCAGTTCAGTCACATTCTTAGGCTTGCGCACTGCAACTGCTTTCTTTAAGTCCCACCAGAGGTTCTCAATCGGATTTAAGTCTGGTGACTGCGATGGCCACTCCAAAATGTTCCAGCCTTTCCTCTGCAACCATGCTCTAGTGGACTTGGAGGTATGCTTGGGATCATTGTCCTGTTGAAAGGTCCAACGTCTCCCAAGCCTCAGGTGTGTGACGGACTGCATCACGTTTCCATCCAATATCTCCTGGTACTGAAGAGAATTCATGGTACCTTGCACACGCTGAAGCTTCCCTGTACCTGCAGAAGCAAAACAGCCCCAAAGCATGATTGACCCTCCACCATGCTTCACAGTAGGCAAGGTGTTCTTTTCATCATAGGCCTTGTTCTTCCTCCTCCAAACATAGCGTTGATCCATGGGCCCAAACAGTTCTAATTTTGTTTCATCAGTCCACAGAACACTATCCCACAACTTTTGTGGTTTGTCCACATGGCTTTTGGCATACTGCAGTCGACTCTTCTTATTCTTTGGAGACAGCAAGGGGGTACGCCTGGGAGTTCTGGCACGGAGGCCTTCATTACGCAGTGTGCGTCTTATTGTCTGGGCTGAAACTTCTGTACCCACATCTGACAAATCTTTTCTCAGTTCCTCAGCAGTCACACGGGGACTTCTCTCCACTCTACGCTTCAGGTAGCGCACAGCAGTCGAAGTCAGCATCTTCTTTCTGCCACGACCAGGTAGCGTTTCAACAGTGCCCTTTGCCTTGAATTTGCGAATGATGCTTCCTAAGGTGTCTCTTGGTATGTTTAACATCTTTGCAATCTTCTTATAGCCATTGCCCTTCCTGTGAAGAGAAATCACCTCTTCTCTTGTCTTCCTGGACCATTCTCTTGCCTTCACCATGTTTGTAACCACACCAGTAAATGTCTAGAAGGAGCTGAGTATCACAGTCATTTTAAAGCTGCCTAATTGGTGCTTATTATGCTTGATTGCTGCTCGGTGACATCCACAGGTGTTTTCAATACCTGATGGAAAGCACCTGTATGAACCTCTGTTCTTCAGAGTGGTAGTCTTTAAGGGGTTGAATAATTGTGGCAATGAAGAAACCACATAAGAACCATTTACTACTGTATTACATAAACAATTGATGTCATTTTTAGTTGCATTTGGGTAGTTACAACGTCCTTGTAGGATTTGATTCTGAATACAATTCCAAATGTACACTATAGTCCCTAAACCCCTTTACAGCATTGGGGGTTGAATAATTTTGGTCACAACTGTATATGGGGGATAAATTACTATGGGGGATGAATTACTATATGGGGGATAAATTACTATGGGGGATGATGAATTACTATATGGGGGATGAATTACTATGGGGGATGAATTACTATATGGGGGATTAATTACTATGGGGGGTGAATTACTATGGGGGGTGAATTACTATATGGGGGATGAATTACTATATGGGGGATGAATTACTATGGGGGATGAATTACTATATGGGGGATGAATTACTATATGGGGGATGAATTACTATATGGGGGATGAATTACTATGCTTACTATGGGGGAATATTACTATACTTACTATGGATGACACATACACATCATTCATCTACTCTTGGTCCGGCCCCCGGGTCCAATATATGAACCCATTGCGTCCCTCAAGTCAAAAAGTTTGCCCACCCCTGAGCTAGAACCTTTGTGTTAATCACTCTATCCACTGTCCATGCACAATCCTACACCAGACATATGACTCATAGTAGCTTGCTGCCACTCAGCAGTTTGTCTGCTAGGCAATCATACACACACAGGGGCGGACTGACAACTCATGGGGCCCCCGGGCAATAGGGGATCATGGGGCCCCTGTTTCCTTGCCCAAACTCAAAAAAGTCTATGAAAAAGGTACCAGGGGCATCTCATGGGGCCCCCTACTGACCCTGGGCCCTCGGGCAGTGCCCAAGTTTCCAAATGGTCAGTCCGCCCCTGCACACACACATACTCCATAAACCTGTATGCACGCCATTAGTCTGGTCTCCATAAATGTTGTTACCTTTCCACATTCTACTAAAAGTTGATTTTTTTATCCCTCCAAAAAAAAACTGATCTGTAGCCAATGCTCGCTCTATGATGTGTTGCTTAACCGCCTCCCACCTGCCATATAAGGAAATGATGGACAGGCGGCAGTCCTCTCATTCTGGGAGGACGTCATATGACGTCCTCCCACTCTAGCTGCGCATGCACGCCCCCAGGGGCATGCGGTGCGGCGATCGGCGCAGCGGATCTTCGATCGCAGTAAAGAGGTGATGACGTAGGCTCTGTCATGTGATCAGCTGTGTCCAATCACAGCTGATCGCATGTAAATAGGAAATGCCAGTTATCGGCAGTCCTCTCCTCATGCTAAGAGCGTGTGAGAAGAGGAGAGCCAGTAAGCGGCATTCCTCAGAGGTGACATGTATATTGATCATCAAGGCATCATCAGTGCCCTGATTATCAGTGTAGGCCCATCAGTGACACCTATCAGTGCCCATAATTGCCACCTGTTAGTGCCCATCAATGTCACATACCAATGCACATCAGTGTACATCAATGCCAATATCAGTGCACATCAATGTCACATATCAGTGCACATCAATGTCACATACCAGTGCACATCAGTGTACATCAATGCCAAATATCAGTGCACATCAATGTCACATATCAGTGCACATCAGTGTACATCAGTGCCAAATATCAGTGCACATCAATGTCACATATCAGCACCCATCAGAGCTGCCTTTCAGTGCCGCCTATCAGTGCCATATTTGAGTGCTGCCTTTCAGTGCCCATCAGTTATGCCTGTCAATGCCCATCAGAGACTCCTCATCAGTGCCACCTATCAGTGCCCATCAGTTCAGCCACCGCTTAATTAGCCAGTTATAGACTTGGGCGGTGGCCATTTTTATTTGCATGTTGGAGTTTATTTACGTGGGGGCACTAGGACACCCTGGCTGCCATTGTGCTATATGCTAGGGGTCCTGTGCACTCCTGTGCCTTTAAGAGGGGTGGGCTCCCTCAGGTCCACCTGCCCTTGATCTATCCATTAAATACATGTGCCTCTACTATGGGGGCTCTCAAATTGTAGAGTTAGGACCACAGATTATCTGGGTGCCGTGACGTGGCTCTGTGGCTTATGTATGTATTTGCAAATGTGTGCTAACTAAACCCCTGTTATAAACAAACGCATACTGTTAGACAGGTTAATTTGGTTGTTAGCAAGCTGGCTGGTGAGTTGTCCTAGAACACTGTTCTCTCCCCTTCATTCATAATGCTTCCAAAGCCCCTATAAGTCATGAGTTTAGCGCTCTGGAGGAGATCTTGTGCTAGAATTATTGCTCTCACTCCAGTTTGAGCGGCAATACGTAATGTGTATATTGCAATTGATGGTTTCACATGTAGGCGCTCCCATTGCGTGGGTTTACATTCATATATGTGGGGGTGGGGTGGCCTCAAAATTTTTTTTTTATCTTGGGGATGTTATGTGCTTGGGTGCAACTTTATTTTTTTTGCATCAAAAAACGGTTTTTCTTGCTTAACCTTTTTTTAATCACATAGGAGACACAAAGTCCCCTATGTGATGATTTGTAGGTGACAGGTTCTCTTTAATGAGACATGCAGGCTCTAAAAAACCCTGCATGTTTCCTCTGGACTCCAAGGAATGCATTGCAATGCAGATCACATTGCAATCAGGGGCGGACTGACCATTTGGAAACTCTGGCATTGCCCGAGGGCCTGGGGTCAGTAGGGGACCCCATGAGATGCCCCTGAGACCTTTTTCATAGGCATTTTTGAGTTTGGGCAAGGACACAGGGGCCCCATGATCCCCTATTGCCCGGGGGGCCACATGAGTTGTCAGTCCGCACCCCTGATTGCAATACATTCCTCCCTGGATATTCTAGGCAGGGAAAGTGACAGGGGTGACCCGGAAGTGGCGTCATACATGTTGCTTTCCGTGTCACAGCAAGAAGAGGAGGAGAGCGGATGTGTGTCCACTCTCCTCCTTCCCCTCCACCTGCTGGCACCCGCCATGTCAGCCATTACATGGTGGGAGTGTGCATGCAGGGGCAGGGCATTGCTACCGTGGGTGTGTAGAAGCAATCTGTAGCAACACAGCCACCTGACTGCTTCCACTTGACAGGCAGGAATCTGCTTGTCAGTTTTATATGCAATATCGGTGGCTGCACCCACAAGATGTGTGTAACCCCCCGGCAGTGAGGACCGAATGGACCTGGCAGCGAAAGAGCTAAGGAAATGTGACGGAAATTACGTTTTTTTTTAATAAAAAATGTTTTCCTATTTAAACCCTTAATTAGAGGTCTTGCCCTTCTCCCCTTGGCTATTTTTTTCCTGACTATTTATTTATTTTATTTTTTAAATTTTTTTTTAGCCATTATTAAAATTTCAATTTAAACGTTTGTGTTAAAAGAAGTGCAAAATTGGCAAAAGATCTGTTATTCCATTAGTAACAAACTTTGCATCGTGTTGTATAATATATAGTGTTTTTTTTCTACAGTTACATTTTTATTTTATCATTGATCAAGGTTGAAAAAAGTGGGCTTTATTATTTTTGTTACTTTTCTATTATTGATACAAAAAAAATCCTTTTTGCAGGACAGTATTACTGAAAGAAAGCCTTGTTTGTCCCAAAAAGCCTCAATATATGACTTTTCTGAATAAACAGACCCATAGTAATTGAAAAATGAGTCTGCTCCATGGAGGTTGGGGGGAATTTACTGGTGTGAGAGCTGCAGTGGTTACCCAGGGAAAAGGAAATATATATTATTGTTTATCCCAATATTGACTATATCTTTTTTGCAATATGTACAGATGGAATAGATTGTGGAGAAAATCTTTTTTTTTTCCTCATATCCTGCATCATGGACTGAAGTTATTGGTGCACATTGTGGTGAGTCTGCAAATTTTGTATTTGGCAAAGGAGCCGACCCACCAAATGCTGTAACAGGACATTATACACAGGTATGTTTTATTTTAAAATGTTATTTTATAGCAATAGCTTAAGACACCAGATATTATGTTGTGCAACTAGAAATAAGAAACAAATAGGTGCATAGGGAGAGGAATGGAAGGACTAATTATATATATGCAAAATATGCAAAACCACCACTGCATGCTTACTACAGAACCAAATAACGTGTTTGTAATGCTTCAGCTTTAAATTAAAAAACCAAACATTTCCCACCTGCTGTGTACAATGTATTTGCACGGAGCAGCCTCGATCCTCATCTTCTCTGGTCCCCCACCAGTGCTCCTGGGTCCTTCTCTTCAACCAGTGCCTCCATAGGAATCCACATCCTATGGGGGCACTCATGCGAGCCGGCTCCCAAGACCCACTGCCAGTGTTCATAGATACAGACAGTGGGGCACAGCCACGCCCCCTGCTCCCTCGTCACAGAGTTATATATTTTTTTTTATTTTAATAAAATACAATATTAAATATACTTTTATATATCATTAAAAACGCTATCTAATGTGCTCATAAGCATCTGAGGTACAACACTCAATGATTTTCTAAAATAGTAGAGAATCTTCATTGCTTGGTTTATTTTGAATACCCAATCATGTGCAGGTGAAATAACCAGGAACTTGCTTTCCCCATGATTTGATAATTGAAGTGAATGTATTGAGTGAAGATATTGAACGCATTTAGAAAATCATTTTTATGTTAGCAGCCTATCATATGCCATATGCCCAAGTTCTTGCTGGATTTCTTAATGAGCATCATTTGTGGGCAGTTTTAGATATGTAAAGGGTAATTTACAATGTTTTCACAGAAAAACACTGTGTGTTGACATATAAAGTAAGAAATACATACCACAAGCAGGTGGTCTCTTTTACATAGTTACATAGTTAGTCTGTCTGAAAAAAATCAAAAGTCCATCCAGTTCAGCCAAAAAAAGTTATAATCCTACACCCACAGTTGATCCAGAGGAAGGCAAAAAAACCCAGCAAAGCATGATGCAATTTGCTGCTGCAATGAAACAAATTCCTTCCTGATCCCCCGAGAGACAATCGGATATTCCCTGGATCAACGTTACCTATAAATGTTAGTATCCAGTTATATTCTGTGTATCTAAGAAACAATCCAGGACTTTTTGGAAGCAATCCACTGAGCTGGCCAGAACCAACTCTTGAGGGAGTCTAATCCACATTTTCACAGCTCTCATGGTGAAGAAACCTTTTGTTTGGAGATTACATTTCTTTTAGGACCCTAAACAAAACTGTTTTGGTGCCACTTGGTGTTCACTATAATATGTCACTTTTAGGTAAGGGGATTGGGGTTGAAGAAACAGCTCGGTATTAAATAAGCATTGCGCTCTCCCACAACCTATGGTCAGGGATGAAAAATGATAAATGATAGGTTTTTTTTTGTACTAGTAGACCATTTTACACTTTCCGAAGGTCACTGAGCATCATCATAGTATCAAAGTATAACTAAAGGCAAAATGTTTTTTTTTTTGTTGGTTTAACCACTTCCTGACCGGCCGTTGTATATAAACGGCCGGACGGTGGCACTGCAGGGTCGGGTGGCCGTCTATAAACGGCCTCCCTGCACCCTACTTGTGCGCGCTCCCTGGGAGCGCGCAGCAACGCGATCCGGTGCCCGCTGTGTCCTCCGCACACAGTGAAACACTGATCGTCGGACGGGACCTCTGTACGAGGTCCCAATCATGTGATCACTGATTGGCCAATCAGTGATCACATGCAAAGTAGTAAGCAAGATGTCACTTCTGACATAATTGCTTACTATGTGTGAAATCTGTGAATGATCACAGAGGTCACATGGTACAAGGCTATTCACAAAAGCCTTGTACCATGTGACAAGCTGTGACCAATCACAGCTCACTCAGTTCTTCTCAATGAGTGCAAGAATGCACACAGAGAGAAAGAAAAATGATTGCTTTTACATCCTATATGGGTGTAAAAGCTATCAGTGTAAAAAAAAAAAAATCTTCATCACCCCTCACAAGTAGTACAGGGTCACCATGGTGACACTGTACTGCTAGGGTGATAGTATGTAAAAAAAAAAAAAATAATATAAAAAAATAAAATAAAAATGTAAAAAAAAATGTTTAAAAATTATAATTTTTGCTTATAAACTAATTTGGATTTTTTTTTTTACTAAAAAGATAACAGAATAAATTTTGTCTAAGATTTATGATGAAATATTATTTATTTGCAAAATTTTATAAAAAAAAACACTTTTTTTCAACATTTTTGGACATTTCATTTACATAGCAAAAAAAATACAAATCCCAGTGGTGAATAAATACCACCAAAATAAAGCTTTATCTATCTCAAAAAAAGGTAAAAAATTCATTTGGGTACAGTGTGGCATGACCGCGCAATTGTCATTCAAAGTGTGATAGCGCTAAAAGCTGAAAATTGCCCTGGTCAGGAAGGGGGTAAAAGTGTCCGGTCTGGAAGTGGTTAAATAGAGTGGTGAGGGGTTATATCCCTTGTCAGGTTATCATTGCTCAGATCCAAATGTAGCGCTCACACCCCAAAAGGGCCTGCTGATTTGGTCCCAATGTTCTTTCCCCAGTTAGTGTACTAGCAGCCATGCACACAGTGGCATTCACTCCTCTGGCTCATGAAACAGTTCAGGGGTATCCTATTTATGATGCTTTATTAATCCCTGTTAGCTTCGTGAGGCAGAGTTCAATGGTCAGTATGCTGTGATGCAGATTTGCCTTGTACCTGTAGAAATCAGTAAGTAGTATGTAGTGGCAGGATAAATTGCAGTGCTATGTATGTAGTGTTAGTTGGTGAGCAGTATGTAGTCTTGGTCAGTGAGCCGTATGTAGTGCCAGTTAATGAGCAGCATGTAGTGCCAGCCAGTGAGCAGTCAGGTAGCAGTATGTAGTACCAGTCAGTGACCAGTATGTAGTGCTGGTCAAGTAGCAGTATGTAGTGCCAATCAGTGGTCACGTAGAATTCCTTATGGAGAAGCCTTTCTCCTCAGCCACTTACCACACCACTGGAGATGAAGAGAGACTTGCAGGACTGCTATCTCTGCGCCTCTTCCATCTTCAACTGCTGGATCTGCCCTAGCAGCCACCTGTGCAAGGAGAAATAGAAAAGTGACCACAACTCTGATCCCACCCACCCTCCCTGAACTCCAGGGAGAGGAGTGGAGAGCATCACAGACAGCTCTGGAACCCCCGCTGACCTGTACCTCCTGAGGAGGCAAGTGAGGACAACCAAGGAAGCTGTGCAGGCTCCCAATGTCCCCATTAGCAACCAATGATAATATTGGTTGGTAGGATGCGGGCAGGCAGCCTAGCACAGGGTGACTGCATATTTTTTCAACCTGTGGCTCTGTGGAAAAAAAAAAAAGACTTGGATCAAATAGCTTGATGAAAGACAACTTTTTTTTCACAGAGCCACGCTTTTACACTTTTTAGCGTTTTGCCACCGCACCCTTAATAAGCCCCAATGGCACCCCAGGGTGAACCAACACCCAGGATGAAAAAAGCAGCTCTAGATTAATAAAATGAGCAGTGTTTTGAATTTTCTTTGGAGAGCAGATGGTCTTTATCTCTGGATTTTTGCAGTCTATGAGACATAGCACAAGCCCTAATTTTGTCTAATTAAGCCTTGATAAGGGGCTATAATGGAACAATGTTTAAAAATTGAAGTCTGTTGGGTCCCACAAGTACATGGACAGAATGTGTGCAATGGTGTAGGAAAAACCTAAAGTCAAGATTGCTCCTGTGTCAACACCATAGAATAACAATTATAGAAACTGTCAGTGCTTATAACACCTGGACAAGTGGCAACCATGGCTGTAGAGAGCAGGGGAATGTTCAGGAGATCTTGACTGGCCTTCCCATTCCATTTAACTTG